ACAGTTTACGTAAAAGATCTATGCATGGATTTCAAGGGCAGTAAAAGCTAGACTCAAAAGTATTTACCAATTCAACGTGACCAAGTGTATATAGTTTGTGCACATTCATGAGATACTAGCTAGTGGGCGTCTCTTCTCACTTTTTAATCGTCACTACACATCCCCATCTTTCCCTCGCCTTTATACATAGCGTTACTTCCAATTAACGATTTTTGATGTTGCGTATTTCTTACTAACCACACTTTTGGTCAATTATCCGGTCTGGAATAATGTTATGGTATTTATTAATTAAACTAGTCTACCCTCGTCATCACTTACTGTTCCTCTCTCTTCTTCTCATCCAGCTCATTCCTTTTCATCGCTCACCTCAAAGTATAATTTAAATTTGTTGGCCGACATATGTAATTCTTCACTTGCCCTCTTACTTATTCTCTTACCTTGAAGAGTGCTTCTTGTGAGCAATATTCATTTCCACTGTAAGAATAACGGCCGATCGGGCGTCTCAGCAAATCTGCCCTTATCAAATCGGCATGCAGTCCTCCTGCAAGTCACACACAGTAGGTCCATATAGGACAGACTGAAGAGGTGATTAGGTAGTAGGTTACTTCTGGATAGACTATAGTATATATCGAGACCACTTTTCCAAGCGGTTACTGACCCTACTAATTTAGCCACAGTCTAGGGCTTCGGGTATGGCGACTCCATTGCCATTGTACGCTCTATCAGTTTACAGAGGGTTTTTCAACTTGAGTCGTTGTTAGCCTTGGTCAAGCTTTGTATTTCAAAATCTCAAAGCGCAAATTTTTAGTATTGTCCCACCGCATTTAATAAACTCCTTGTTTTCTATTATTGTGGCAAAGGAGGTGAACGGTAAATGCGAAGTCAAAGATTCACACACGCATGTGTCACCTTCTGTGCGTTGCAGATCTATGATCGTTGACAAGGTTTCGGAGCAAGGGTATATCTTCATAACGAGTAATGGGGCGGAAATAGGTTTAGAGAAATTAAGACCTATTGTATACTACCATTTTCGTGTTTAGTTTACTCTTTTTTTTTGTTATTGGAAGTTTTACCAAAGTGCGCTGTGGTGCCAGTAGGGGCTGCGGGTTGAACCTGCCAGGGTTGCAGCTAATGGACGCTCCCGGGTTCAGAGTTAGTCTACTTATAGTAATATTATATATACTACGACCTAGGTGATGTTACAATAGCCATTGTACGGCATTCATAGCCCGAAGAGGGCCGGTGACCACAGGTAGGACTCCAAAATGTTCTCCACAGGCTACGTGAACACCAGCATGTTCCTCCAGAACAGGCCGCTTCGCTGACCCCGAAATTTATGCAACATGACAAAAGAGACTCTTGATAAGGCTAGTAAATGACGAATTTCCCTTGTTTATTGAAGTCACACTCCTTCCCTATTATCTACTCCTGATGTATGTCTTCTACTGTTTACCGCCATCAAGGAACAAATCTTACATTAGTTGGCTGCTTAGCTGTTTTTTATGTTCACGAAAAGTTGAGTCATGAATAAAAACGTCTTTAGCCATAAAGCCACTGCCGGCACCTACTGATTACACGTGCTAATTCCTATGTACACATGCTAAATCCGATTGTAGAGGGGCATAACACCCCGCCCCCACCCAACCACACCCACGCACGCACACACACATGCAAACAAAAAAACAAAATATACTTCCAATATTGTTAGGAATTAGAGGAGTTCCACAACCCACAAGCTAATTACAAGATTTTATGTGTATGATGTTTTTGTACACAGTTTCAAGACGAAATGTATTTGAACCAAAATGAACAACCACACATTCCATTAATTTGTCCCCATTTTACACATACACTGTCGGAGTGTGCTCAGACATGTATATTTACCATCATATGTAGCAGCACTGATGATGACATGGTGTCAAATGCACACAGCAGAAGCTCTGGCAAAGCTCAAAGGTATACATGCTCAGCTCAGAAGTTCTTAGTTCAGACTGCACGAAGGTAAACACCATGTGCACGTATGTACAGATAGAGAGCACTGGGATCTAGCAGACAAGCCATGTTTGTTTCCATTCGGACAACACTAACAAGATTAGTATGAGCTTACTGCGTGTAGGCCTGGCACACAGCAAGGCTCGACTGTTTATCTGCGTATGTATGAAAGTGCACTATACACTACTGTGACTACACATACTTATATGCGCCCTCCTGGCTCACACCTACTTGATGAGTATCGTTGGCCTCTACTACAACTGAATAAATCTAACTAGGCTAACCCCAGGGGACATGTGAAAATTAGTAGATGAGCCTATGTAGGACATAGGCTCCCATAAACATGTATTTTTGGCAACCGTTTTTAATACATTACTCTGGCTGGGGCCAAATAATTAGCAGAGTGATGTCGACATACCTTCTTACAGTTTAGGACAAATTATCATCTCACAATACATCTAAATATTATAATTGTACTCCACTTACAGAGGGATATTATTTTATACAAATAATGGCATATATATTGTGAAAAATGAAACTAAATCCCTAGGCCACCCTTAAAAAATTGTTTTTTCCCCTTTACCTACTTGCCTCTCAGGGTACCGAGTAGGTAGGTAGGTGAAAAATCTTTTTTATTTTGTTTTGACAAGATGTGTGTATGTATATTGTATATTCTGTTTTCTGTATATGTTTTTGCGAAACGAAATAATTTTTGTTTTGTTTTAATCGGCCAATAAAATGTGTCGAGTAGCGGCGTTTTGGCGAGTCGGTCGGTAAAGGGGAAACAAGCAATATTTTATCTTAGGCCCTATATATCTTTTTGTAAATGAGAGTGTGTGATTTTATGGCAGCCTAACATATTCTAAAAATGTAATGAAAAAAAACGGCAGCCCCGCTTTTCTGATTATTTAGACCGAGAAGAAAGATTTTGTAATGGTTTCTAAAAATAAAGAAGCCATGCTCACGGATGTGCATGCTCTTATCTACTACAGTGAGGGTTTAGCACACGTTCTAACCAGGTTTCACTACTAGCACTACAGAGACTCCCCTACATACGAACATTCGTGTTGCGAACTTTCGATGATACGAACAATTTGCCCTGAAGTCGAAAATTTAGGCGCAAGGTTTAGTTCGCAGATCCGCTGCTTGGTGGCGGCAATGTAGCGCGGGAAGCGCTGAGATGTAAATAATACACGTATATGTTTAGACGATGTACACTTCTAGGTTACTCGATGTTCACACGTACATATACTACACTACTGTACAATACTGTATACGTGCATATGTTGGATTTACGAACAACCGCTCGGAACCGAACCTGTTCGTAAGTAGGGGAGTCTCTGTACTGCATTGACTATTCACAGTACGCTCCTGCTCCACTATTCTCTATCTTTACTGGCTACCACTCTCCTGGACTAGAATCCTTTTGCATACTCACCAACGTAGTATGGAGTGTAGCAGGGGGTCTGCAGCGAATTGAAGTTTTGCGTCTCCTTAGCAAACCCAAAGTCAGTCAACTTCAATGTTGCATGCTTTCCCTTGTCCGTGTACAGCAAATTTTCCGGCTAGGATGTCAAAATAACTTGTTATTAGGTGTTAAAGTGATTACGTCACCGTAAATAGTAAAGGTAAAAAAATTATGTCATTTTTTCACAAAATGTAAGCAACTCTGTTCACTTTTTATGGTTAAATTGCTACACTATACTTCCTATTTTGCTATTCCGCTTACAATGGTGGGAGACAACACTGTGTGACTCATACAGTAGCCGCACTAGCCAGCATTTAATGTCGTTGATCAATATATCAAATTGCCCAGATTTTTCTGGGATTTTTAAACTAGTTGAAAAACAATTCTTATCAGGCTAATAAGGTTTTAGGATGACATTTAGTACTGCGTTAATACCTCTATTTTCATCCGCCAAGAAATTGCAAATTTTCTCCTTTACCCAACACCATACACATAGAAATTGCCGTGACGCTAGTCCAATTTACAAATGGACTTCAACTGTTATTCAAATTTTAAATCACTATATTAAATTTTATGATTCAAGGGAGTAAAAGCTAACTAAAAGTATTTACCAATCAACGTGACCAATGTATATAGTTGTGCACATTATAGATACTGCTAGTGGCTCTCTTCTCACTTTTAATCTACTACAATCCCCATCTTTCCCTCCCTTTACATAAGTACTTCAATACACTTTTTATTTGCGTTCTTACTACACACTTTTGTCAATTCCTCTGAATAATTTATTATTTATTAATTAACTAGTCTACCTGTCACACCTTCTGTCTCTCTCTCTTCTCACCACTTATTCTTTCACGCTCACTCAAAGTATATAAATTGCCACATATTATCTTCACTTGCTCTACTTATCTTACCTTGAGATCTCTGTGAGCAATATTCATGCCATGTAAATAGGCGATGGCCTCAGCAATCTGCCTTACAATCGCAGCAGCCTCTGCAAGTACACAGTAGTCAAAAGTAGATAATAGGTATAGGTAGTAGGTACTTCTGATAGTATATATATATCAGACACTTTTCCAAGCGGTTACTGACCCAAATTACCACAGTTAGGCTCGGGATGGCCTCCATGCCATTTACGCTTAGTTACAGAGGTTTTCACTGAGGTTGTTAGTTGGTCAAGCTTTGTATTTAAAATTTCAACATTGTGAAATCTTTCATAGAAAATAACAATAAAGATCACACATGCTCCAACTCGGTGGCGGATCTAGAGGGGGGTTGGGGGGTTGCAACCCTCCTCTCGATCCGCCACTGACTAATGTTATGATACTAGTAAAATGGGGCCAAAAATAGAAAAGTCAGTCTGCAGGCTGATAGAAACTGGGGATTTCCCCTGTGACTACACAGCTGCCTGAATTTTCCAGGTGGGAGGGGGGCATGTGCCCGGACCACCCTAACACTGCGTGCCTTAGGCACGCACGCCTTCACTCAAATATCAACCCTCCCCCCATCTCCTGAAAGCTAGATCCGCCCTTGCAACTGTATCGCTTAATTTAGAATAGGAACCTAGAAGTCATCTACTGTGTCAACGTTTCTATACCTCTCTCTGTGAATGGAGTGTCTGCTCTTTCCTGAATTCTGTTGAAGAGTTCTCCTCCAGTCATGCTGTAAACAGATCCAGTTATAAGGACAAGGAACAGTATGGCACTCAAAGCACGCGCCAGGCAAACTAGTCGGTATGTACACACACACACGCGCGCACACACACACATGCACGCACGCACGCATATATACGTACACATGCATGCATGCACGCACCACCACAAATACAGTAATACCTCGCATTATATAATTAATTCCTGATAAATTGCTCATAGCGTGAATACCCCGAATATGATTCACATTTCCTTCCGTTATATAATTGGAGATTACGTATGCTATCACACATACATAATTCCTACACAGAAACCAACCTGTCACGCGTAGCTTTGACCTTGATGCCTCGATTCACATTCGCACTACTTTGCCATTGATACCCATTTCCTAATAACTGTCCGGCGTCAGCTTGTAGTCTGAGCTAATACGGAGTTTTTTCTTGATCATTGTCGCAGTCCTGAACTGTTTCAGTTCCTTCCCATTTCGAGCTGGTTGCTGACTGTACTTTTCGAACCCATCACCACTCACTGGCACTAGTTAGTTTTCAAATTCTTCACGATCAGCTTTCTAACTTCCGCACTGATTGTTTGATCTTCTTATATAACAGGTTTTCTAATAAAGCACAGTCGTATAATGTACACAAAATCATTTTAAAACAACAAACAACGAAACAACGATAGAAGCAATTGCAGAAGTATCGTTGGTTGTGAGAAGGCGGATATGACGATACACTCCTTGTGCAGGCTTGCCATCTACGTTTCAAAATTTGCTGAATAAATATGCCGAGGGCTACAATATAGACATAGCCCATAAACATTAACCGCATAACAAACATGAATTTGGTAGTCTAAGGCACTTGTAACGAAAATATATAATTTCACTCTAACTTAAATGACCAAATATCACTGCAGATTGCAGTTGTGGAAATATTGTTCTCGATCGCTTTTAGTAGTTTTACGATGAAATAAGGCGAGAGAAATGAGGAGGGATAATCAAGCCATATTATCAATAAAATTATGGCTGAATCTAACGGTCCAATGTATCGGCATAGCGCGTTTGCTATATTCAGGCCGACGGTACAGGAGATAATTTGTCATATTTTGTTCCGTGGTTTGTGTTATAACCAATCAGATGTAATCGCGGTTTGGAGAAGCGAGGGTCGAGAATGCTGGCTGGCAGAAGAGAGGCAGAGGAGAAGGAGAAGGTTGGCTGGAGGAGGGGGAGAAGCTGCGTGGAGAAGGAGGATGGGGGAAGCTGTGGAGGATGGATGGGGGGAGCAAGGAGGAGGTGGGAGAAGTGGCAGGGAGGTGCCCTTCTCCCTGGCACCACTTCTCCCTTCTCCACCACCTTGACCACCACCTTCTCCACCACCTCCCTCTTCCTCCACCAGTCTTCTCCCTCTGCCTTCTTCATTCTCCACCAGCTTTCCCCCTCCTCCTTGCGCCGCCAGCTTCTCCCCTCCTCCTTCGTCACCACCTTTTCCCTCCCCCTTACCTCCTTCTCCACCAGGGCTTCTCTCTCCTTCTCCACTAGCTCTCCCCCTCTCTTCACCACCTTCTCCCTTCTCCCCTCCTCCTTCTCCACCAGCTTCTCCCCTCCTCTTTCTCCACCACCTTGCTCCCTTCTCCCTATCCTCCTTCTCCACCAGCTTCTCCCCTTCCTCCTTTCTCTCCACCACGCTTCTCCCTCTCCCCTTCCTCCTCCTGCACCATCTGTCTTCACCAGGCTGAGAGTGACCGTCACTCGAACACGCCGATTACAACTGCATTGGTTATTAACACCACAACAACGTTATAAAAATATGCAAATTCATCTCCTGCTAGCCGGGGCCCTGAATATAGGACAAACCCATCCTATATGCCAATTTCAAATATATATTGAATGTAAATATCTGTACTTACGTGTAAGTTACCAGTGGCGATACCAGAAATTGATAAACGGCGGGGGGAGCGGGGCAAAATGTACTGGGCTGCCCAAGGCAGCCCCCTGTGACGTATGACAGAGTGTTCACGTGAGTCACTAGATCAGGTCACGTGTATTTGTTATGTGTCTTTGTCTGGCAGCGCGTGTTTATGTAGTGCACGTACACGTGAGTGCTGCGCATTGCGTAGGCACGTTACACGTTCGTACGTTCGTCGTGCACGTACACGGCCGTGCATGCGTGCGGTGCTTACGGTGTGCGTGCGTTGCTGCATGTACACGTCGGGATGCGTGCATGGCGTGTGTGTGTCGGCCGCATCGAGGTTGCGCGCGATGTGCAGGTACACGTGTGTGCAATGGAGTGCGTGCGTGCGTACTGTGCGTGTGCTGTACAGACCCCTGTACACGTGCGTGTGTGCATGATGCTGCACGTAGACGTGCGGCGTCGCGTCGGTGCACGTACGTGGTACCTGCGCGCATGCAATGGCGTGCGCTGCGTGTGTTATGTAAACGCTGCGTGCGATGCGCTGCGTGCGTTGCGCAACTGGAGTTATGTGTGTGCGTGCGTGTGTACGTGTGCCACGTATACCGTGCGTGCGTCGCGTGCTGTGCGTGTGGCAAGTACAACGTGCGGCGTGCGTGCGTGCTGTACGACACGTGCCGTTCGTGCGTCGCGTGCGTGGCACTTACACGTTGTTACATGGCGTGGTGCGTGCATGTGCACGTACACGTGCGTGTGTACCTACACTGTGCGTGCATTGCGCTGCGTCGTCGCGCGGACACGTGCGTGCATGAGTGTGTTGCGTGCGTGCTGTACGTACAACGGCGTGCGTGCGTCGCTGCGTGTGCTTGCTATCATACAATATCACGCATCTTGCTTGCTGCCAACAATTAAACGGATACATTAAGTACTGAGACGGTGACCGCCATTTTACGTGGTCATTTCGAGGCCACGCCGAGATTCACAGTCTCCAACTGTTGTCAACAAAATGTTGAGAGCCAGGTTTTTTCACCGTTGAGAAAATTCACTGCGTCCAGGCCGGGTTTATTGATTTTTTCTGGGGCCTGCAAACGGGCCGGCGGGGCGTATGCCGCTCCGGGGCCCTATGCTGGATACGCCACTGGTTTTACTATGCATTAGATCAGCGGCTTTTCTGGATTCCATACCATAGTTTGTTCACTAACATTACTTGCGTTATTTACGCGAGATATTTATCGCCGTTTCACAAAAAGTACCGGATGCCTACTAAGAGTCGGAATAGGGAGTTCAGGGGCGACCGAAGTCGGGCGGAGTCACATGACATCTCTGCTCTGTACGCTCGCAGAATAGTGGCTGGCAGCGCGCGAGCAAGAACTGTGCAACTTTCTGTGAAAATTTAGTAAATTAACCTTTTCGCAGCAAAAATGATTGCGCTTATAAATAGACCTTCTAAGACTGGTCTTAAGAGCCTCTTCTGCGAAGAAGAGATTGGCAGCTAACGCTTGTTGCGCTTCAATACTCAGCGGAAAACTACATTGCTGCGTAAATGTTATTGCGGTTATAGGATAAATTCATTTTCCGCGCCCTCATCGTATGTACATTCATTCCAAAGGAAATGGCTGAGAGCCGGTCTATCATAATCACGCGATAGTATCAGTGACAAATTGAACCCTATTATCCCGTCTAAACGATTAATTGGTTCATTTATGAATTATCTATGTGCCTTCATGTTAAATTGCCACGAATTTCGTCAATTGCTTATAGCGTTAATATCTCTTTATCTAGATTGTAATCTTGTATACATTCAACGATAAATACACAATACAAATACTATACATAAAATGGGTTGCAAATCCACTTTAGGCACCTTAGGTATCACGAAAGTGATGCACGAGATTTCTGTGGCATCATCAAACTGATGCACAGGAATTTTCCCGTATATCAAGGAATGATGCAAAAAACCCATAACCCTAAGGCCCAGGGCGGCGCTAATCTAAACCCCTAACCTAACACCACTTCCTGTACCTAAGCGAGTTAAAGGTTATACTTTAGGACTAGGGTTAGGGTTAGGGGTCCTTTTGCATCATTCCGTTGATATACGGAAAGTCTGCTGCCATCAGTTGATGATACATCAGAAATCTGTGGCATCACTTCGTGCATACATAAAGGTGCCTAAAGCTAGATTTCTGATGCGCCCATAAAATGTGCACCTAGATAATTACTAGGGATAAATACAGAAAATATGACAAGCAAACTCATATACATTTTGACCCTTATAAGTTGTATATCTACTCCATTGGACACTCATTGCACCTGTAATGCTGGGCAGGTCGAATCTAATGTCATGACTAGCTACTAGCTACTACGGTAAACATCAGCGGGTGTAGCGATCAGTAAATTAAACTAGCAAACGCCATCGCCAGATGCGCCTCTACGCGGTCTATTCGGCGTTTCGGGCCGATCAGTGGAACATCGTCACAATCGATAGTTCTGGTACAGCGGCTAAGCAACAGGAGCAGTGTAATGGGTAGGGGGAGGGGGAGAGGGAGGGGGAGGGAGGAGGCAAGTTTAGAGTAGTACTAGTAGGTGGATTGAAGAAGTGGTGGAGGAGGGGGAGAAGCTGGTTCACCACCTTCTCCCTTCTCCCCTTCCTGCTTTTCTACCAGCTTTATTCCCCCTCCTCCTACTCCACCACCTTCTTCCTTCTCCCCTTCCTCATTCTTCGACTAGCTTCTCCACTACTCCACTTACTTAGTACTACTCTTGAAAACTTCCA